AGCCTTCATTTTTGTCCTTCAAAATCATTTGACAAATGGTTTACCTACAGACAAATGGTTTACCTTCAAGCTGTATATGAACCTCGTTTTCATGTCTGCATGTTTCGCTTCCAATTATAAGATGTCCGTAATTTTTCACGTAGATTCCTCGTGTTTTAATAGAGATATCGTGACCCTGGTTGAAAACGAGGCGACCTTCACCTATGATGTCGATAGAATGAACGTCGAGCTCAGTGACGTCAAGAAGAACGTCCTCATCTATCACAATTGCTAAATCTTTCTGTAATTGAAATGATGCTCTTTAACAAGTTAAGCTTCTTAAATTCATTGTAGGGCAACTCTTAATTCGTAAATACGGTTATACATGTAAACAGGAGTACAAGCATGGGAGCTTGGTGTGAAAATATTTATTGAAAAATGTAATAACTTAATGAATTTCTCAGAAACAAAAAATCAAAACCAAAAATAAAAAAATAATATATTTGGCATAAATGTTGCTTATTTCGTATCATTGTTCATTTCTTATATCCCTCAGAGCGTTTAATTGAAAGAAATGCACATACATGATGCCGACTTCGCGATAGATTTTTTGTTGTTGTAGTAACCGATAAAAGAATTGTGTGGAATCAGTCCCAATTGTTTAAACCCAATCTCTTCTATGGTGATCTATAGTTCCATCGTCATTCCGAAGTCTTTGTACGGATGCGAACTTTGGTCCACTCTCACCGGTTCCGACATTCAACGCCTAGAACAATCCCATAGATTTTGCCTCAAGAATATTCAATCATTTCATCCATGTACCTCAACTGATCTCACTCTATTGTCGATTGGTGCAAATTCTATTGAGACAATAATTGACCATAAAAAACTACAATTCTTAGGTCAGCTTTGTAGACTGCCAAATAAATACCTCGCAAAAGGATTTTTCAATAAAAGACTTTTCCACTTTTTAAATGGCGACAAACAGTCACACGGATTTTTACCGGACATTTATCGCAAAATATGAGTTGAAGTATATTTTAGACAGTTATGCCGCTGACGGCATTTTTCCATCAAACTATGCTTGGAAGGATTTACTTGGAAAATGTGTATTGTCTCGGGAGCGAACACTAATATTAAATAGACTAACTGAGCATAGTTTCTTGAATACCATGTTCTCCAAGAATTCAAAGTCTTGTCTACTTTGGAATGTTGCAAGGCAAAATCATCAACTTATATTCATGTGTAGGCAACTGATGAAAATTGTTTCTCGTCAAGTGTCTAGAAAATACACTACGGAATGCTCCTACTGCAAAAGAGTATGTGAAAACATTGTTGAACACCTAGTGTGCTTTTGCCCAAATAAGGATTCTGAGAGAGCTAAATTGTGGGATTGTTTAATTGATAAGTGGGGATATGAAGGTTATCAATCTTTTATTGATATGTCGCCCTCAGATCAATGTGATAAACTTATACAAGTATCCGTGTTGTGCTCAATGAACGGATTTATCAACCATGCACTTGCCTATAGACTATGCTTACTTGTTTAATGTAGCATCTGTACTAAAGCCAATAGACCGTCTGTTTATGTTACATAAATGCCAATATACATGGATATTCTCCTTCAATTTGGCAATTTTGATTGTACAGGTGTGTTGTTGACGAATTGAAACACATATTCTTTGTTCTAGTACTTTCGTTTCGAAACTAGACTTAAGATTATGTTCTGTTCTGTAATGAATTTTGATTCGGTTGCATAATGTAGAATATATGCTTTCGATTTAACTTTCGCTAATATATTCATTTATACTATCGACGTATTCATGAAACTCTTGTAATTTATATGTTCTATAATATTTGAAGTGTACCATATTTATGCATGTTACTCAATTTACAAATGTTACCATATGTATTTGATTATATGTACTATAACCTGTTTGTAACATATGTTATGCTCATCAGAATTGGTGGATTAAAAGATATATATGACTCCAAATAGATATAAATTTTCTTTGCATAAAGTTTAGTTTGTGAAGGTTGTCGTTTTCATTTTATTTTCATATTCGTATCATTAATAATTAGTTGTTGTTTTTTTTTTTTACAATCATAACGTGTTTAAATTCGAATCTTATTTTTTTAAGTCTGTCGCTGCGACATCAAAATAATATTGAGAATAAACTCGAGAAAAATATATGTAACTTACCGGAAAAGAATCATAAAGTGTAGAAATTTTTTTCAGACTCGAGTCCTCGTGCGGACAAGCAGATTCTGCAGGTACGAAAATAGCGGCAGACGCCAGGAAAAACGCCGTCAGCCACATGTTACATCCGTTACGTTCCGGCGCAAACTCCATAATGTCATGTGCGCCACAGTTTCTGGACCTCTTAAATAGTCCCGATATCTACTAAAGTACTAATACACCTGTTCTTGACCATATAATTCCCCGAAGCAAAGATCAGATTAGACCATTGGTCGCCGTACTGGTCAAATATTTAATTATAGCATATAAATGAAATATTGAAAACATTATTTCAGTTGATTCATGATAAGACAGTTTAATAAGATTTGTTTATAGAAATACAGATAGATTATTGCCAGGTAGACAATACCAATCTGATAGTATTAATTTTATTTTACTATTTTACGATATAGTTAACTTTCGGATTTATTATATATCATCAGTATAACAAAAGTAGCGCCAATAAACATTGACATAAAAGTTTAGTTGTAAAAGAAATTAATTCCGCCTACAACATTCAATATTATTTCGAAGTATTTGAAAAGTACAAAAGTTCGGAGTATTTGAAAAGTACAAAAGTTCGGAGTATTTGAAAAGTACATATTTGAGTTTCCAATTTGGTAGATAAAATATATGTTATTTTCTTTTAATATATATATATTATTTATGTTATTGATATAGTACTTAATCTTATGGTTATTCTGCTAATGTCGTGAAATTTAAAACAGAAAACATTTTCATCTATACATGTATATAAGCAAATTCTATTATGAAAACTTATCTGTTTATGTCACACAATGTCTCAAACGTTTCAATGCAGTTAGATTCTAGTAAGAAAATGCCTGATAACGGGAATCGGCCTGTAATATCGTAATCTCTGCTGATAAAGATCCTGTATGCTGTGATCAAAGTGGTAAACCACACTTATTGAAATTATATTCATGTACATAATTATGCAAATAAAACAATTTTCAAACATCGAAGAATATGTAAAATATTTACTGCAATGTAATCATTAAAATATATGCATTCATTTCTTATTGTAAAATTTGACTTAAACTTTATAGAAAATAAAGTTTTTATTACATTCCTTAATTTACGTGAAATGTTAAATTCGGTAATATCTTTATAAATAATGCTTTTTGGAACCTACAATATTGATAAATCTTAATTTGAGCATCATATTTATGATTTAAAACCATAAAACATATTGTGTTGCAAGATCTTTAATATATCAAACATGACAACAAACCGATGTTAGATAATCTGAAACATTTTTTTCAAGATCTTTTTGTAAGTATATTCAATGATACATTTAAATTCTATTGCTTTTATCAATATTTGTAATACGATGGAAACCGTGTCCATTGTAGACCCATTTTTACGATTTACACAACTAAAAGGAGGAACACAGAACTTCTCAAGGGAAGATATTAAAAAAAAAAGAAATGTACTTTACGTTTTATCGTTGATCCGCCTGCTATCCCCAAAAAAAGTCAAAACATTAATGAAGAGGTAATTGGTTTTAGATACGTCTGCTATATTTTAAAATCAAATTCATGAAAATTTCTTAATAAAATAACTAACTTTGGAGGTGCTGTTTAATTTTGTTACAGAAACTCTTAAACAAAAGAGAAGTTCGCTTTAAATAATTGCGGACGACCCAGATTGTTTTTCTATGATAATAATAGGGATGAAAACATCTGACCGTCACTTTACAAATCTATAATTAACTGGGGATGCCCACCTGCATGGATATTCGTTAAATCGCGTACTTTACTATTGTTCGAAAAGTTTGTATAATTTTCAAATCAATCCAACAGGATCTAATAATTATTCAATAATGTTAAAATTCCTCTTTAAAAATCATGTATTTAGGTCTACCCATTTCTTTTCTGTTTAAGGCACAAACATATTTTTACTTTTGGAACATACGCCGCCTTTTAATGGCATGACAAGAAAGAGTCACATTGAAGTTTCCATGATAGGCCTAACCGCCGAATTAAAACATCTGCAAATGTTTAAAAATTTTCACATATCAATGTTTTAATATTGAATTATGCTTAAGTCAGTGCTGGGGGCGTGGACAGTGGCAATTACCACTTCCGATCAAACCGAATCAGCAACATTTTCAATTTTGCCGTTTGGGGCGTTCTTTAGGGATTCCGTTTTCTCCATTTTTTGTGTGTGATCACCGATACTATAGTCTTGTCTCAAGTGAGGTTTCGAAGAAAAAAGTAACAGATATACAAGTTTACACATCAACATGGCTATTGGTAAATGGTGCCGACAAGAATTAGAAATAATTTTGATTAAACAGAATTTCTCTCACCATGCTTGAAGCAACAAAGACGCTAATGCGACAGCTTGTAAGATGATGTTACGTCACTTCCGCAAATTTTAAAACCGGGGCAGTGTTTGCACGAAAACGACATCATTTTTGTTTCCTATTATTTGATACATAAGACATAAAGTTGCGAAGTATAGTGAAACTTTGTGTTGCGCTCAATAAATCGCTAACTGCACCATAATTATTACACACGGGAAAGACATCATTTATGCCAATATTTTTTTTTTGATAAGATTTTTACTTGTTATAGAATTATGCTACTGGCACAAATTGATTCTAAAAAGTATATTTAGAATTATATAATATTATTTCCTCGACAATTTTACTACTTTCATTTTATACAGTTAAAATATGTGAACATGTGAATAAAGTTTTTCCATTTATAAGCAATAAAAATGGCAATATTATTACACCGAGTTAAATTTTAATTTGTACAATTTATTTGCTACAGGGAATAAATAAAGCAGTTGATTTTAGGTTTCAAACGCATTAATGAAAAAAAGTTTTTGTTGTTGTTTCTTTTTGTTGTTGATTTTTGTTGTTGTTTGCCTTAAGCGTAATCCGATAAAAAAACAGGCTGTTTCTTGATTTTATATTAATTGTACGTAAAAAAATGTTTGGATTATATAAAATATCGGCAACTTATTTAAATGACAAAGATTTGTTTCAAAAAACCTTCTTGTGACATTTCTCTCAAGAGCTGCGTAAGAAGATACATGTATTGTGTTAGCGATCTAAGAGTCAACCAAGTGGATAAGCTCCTAATTATTGTTAAATATAAACTTTACTTTTTTAAAAAAAAAGGACTCCACTGAGGTATTTTGACATGATGGGACTGAAAATATTTTTTCCAGATAAATGTGCCATTTGATGTAGGTTTAGACCACTAATTTTTGTGCAAAATTTCAGATCATTCGCGCACTTCGTTTTGCCAGAATAATTATTCAAATTGTAAAAAAAATGACACAAAATGAAAAGCGTTTAAACGTTTCTCACTCAAATCGGGCTAAGAAAATCATTAAAATACGATTTTCAATTTATTTCATAGTATATTTCTTAACTATCTTTGCATATATTTCTGTTCAAAGTGCACAAGCTCATTTATGTAAGAAATTCAAATGTTATGTTTTTTAGGCTTATAAACCTCAGTGGAGTCCCTTCAATATGTTTAATATTTTGACCAAAATAAATTTATTAAAAGTTTCAAGTAAAAACTACCTTTGTTTTGAAAATGTTTAACATTGGAATTTTCAATTCATGATAAAAAAAATGTAACATTTTATGCATTTACTTTCAAAAGAACCCTTGGATACAATTTATTGAATTCTAAATGCATGAATTTTCATGTATTTATGTAAGTAAATAAAACTACAAACAAACGGACAAACGAAAAAAAATAATTGTGCTAATACATGTTTTCATATCAAGTTTTCGTCAAGATTGACAGTAAAAATAGATATTAAAATCAATGAAGATTTTTTTAACAACGGATATATTTCAAAGTGTTCATGACGAGTCAACCATGTTGTCCTACAAGAAGGTTGGATTTTTATACTTCAAGCTATAATGTCCACCAAGTTGTCCAACAGGAAGGTCAGTTTTTTTTAATTCTAAATAAAAATATAATCAGGCTATCAAAATACTCGTCTGTTATTGATTGACATAGAATTATTTTCATGAGAGCGTTTCCGCGTAAAATGACGGCAGTGTTACTTAACAAGTTGTTTCTTTTTTAATTGAACAATAATGATATTAAGAGTAGGTGGTTACGTATATAATATATCAAATGAATAGACTATAATGTAAAATGAAGATGTTACAAATGTAACAGCCATTTTATGATTTTTAATGAATCAGGTTCGTGAACTCCTATAGTGTATAGTAAAGTTTGTTACAATTGTTATCAAAAGACCACTTTTGAACTTTTACAAGGCCAGTATCAAATTTGATCAATTTGTATTTTTGATTAATACACAAAATGAATATTTAATTAAAAATAGTGTAGGCGGCCATTATTGGTTGTACGTTGCAAAAGCCTTTTTTGAAAACCAATTAAAAAAATTTATTTTAGAGCCCTTTTGTTAATAAAAGCGTCTTTTAAAAATTCAAACAAAAAAAATTAATTTTTTTCAAAAAAGAACCTAAAGCTGCGGGTTTTCCCTTTCTCCCCGGGAGGCCCCGGGCCCTCCCGGTTTTTTCCGGGATATCCGGGGGGCCCCGGGTGAAAATTTTTGTTGCGGGCACACTTACCCCGGCAGCACTGGTATTCCCCAATAACCCCCCAGGTGCGCCCGGATATCCAGGCAGGCCCCGGGGAAGCTACGGTTCAGCCGGGGCTTCCCGGTGTTCCCCTATGCGCGGGAAGGCCCGGTTTCCCCGAGCCCCCCGGTAAACCCCCCTGGATTGAAAAACGCCCGAAAATATAACTTGATACATCATTTTTTATTTAATATAATATCTATTGTTCCAGACAGAATAGTAATTCATGATGATTTTCTGTAAATCCTTATGCCATACTGGAAGAAGAGAAATGGGAAGGTTTTTATAAAACAAGTGCAATCATCGCAAAATTGATATTATTTTTTTGAACTGATCCGGGCTTTTGCCGGGGCTCTACCGGGATCAACCGTAGCTCTACCTTTATCCTCCGGGGCTCTGCCTGTAGGTACCGGGGCTCTGCCGACATCTACGGGGGCTCTACCGCTAGCTCTACCGTAGCTTTACCGGCTATATCATACCCCGGATCATCCCGGTTTGTGCCGGCAGAGCTACGGTGCT